AATGTTGTCAATTATTATTGTTAATGACTGGCACCCGGATAGCATGAGTGAAAAACAAGTTTGTATAATAGATTCAGTAGAGTATTATGTATATAGCCTAATAATATGATAAAAGTTTAACAAACAAAACTTACATAATTCGAGTTTAATTTCCTGGTATACTGACTGTCGTAAGAACAATTTTCTTTAGCCGAATGCTGAAAACAGGCTCTCTCCCTCTGGCCAAATTTATATAACAAAATACGATACAAGAATTGTTTTTGTTCACGTAAGCTTTTCCTGTGTTTTGGAATTTTACAAAACGATGTGTATGATTGTTGTACTGTATAAAAATTATGATTGAAAAAACCATGGGCAAAATATGGATGTCAAGGCATACCACGATCCATTTACCATTTGCTCCATTGGCATTGTCTAGGTCCCGTCTGGTCTCAGTTGGTCTCGCTTCCAAGAACAATATAGGTCAAGCCATACAGGAAGGTTCATTTATCATTGGCATCATTCGTATTGTCTAGTAGTAGGAGACCAGCCTGTAGGTCCCGTGACCAATCTCTGGGAACAAAGGTTTGAAAGTGTTTTTGTGTTCTCTGATGAATACCGAACAATTTTGATTTGGGCTGCCCCCTTGAAAATCCCAGGCATTTTCGTGAGGGTTCAACAAAGGTCATAAAGGGGTAGAAATTAAAATATATTCCAATCGTATCGATATGCATATTAAATTACTCGTCTGGTCATAAGGATTACAAAAATGTATAGTTTGTCATACCTCCGACCTTAAATAAGGGCGCTATGGTAAAAAAGGGCCGGGGCAATTAACTCACTTTGTCCCCTTCCACAACTTAGAATTAAATTAATACAATATAAAAAAAAATCAAGAAGATTTGTTACCTTTGATCCGATCATTCGTGGTTTATTATACTCAACTCAATCAACCCCTTGGAATTAGCATATTCCGAATCATATCATTTGCATATTCGTAACATCATCTAGGACCAATCCGGGCTAAGAAGTGTGCTTCGCATTATGGGTAAAATATGGGTCAAGTTAATTATGGGTCCAAAATGAGGTTTACTTGTAAGTGCTAATCCCTTCCACTAATTCTTATCGATGACTAACCAGTATACGATATAATATTATATATATATCATTCTTCCAATTACCATCGACTGTGTGTGTTTTACCAGAGCATGGGGGGTATTTCACACACATGTGTATCTTGGAAATTATATATAATAATGTTAAGATGTTTTTATATCATCTAGCTACTCTATACATCTACTATCAAAAACAACTGGTTCATCGAAGGTTTAAAGATGACAACAGATTAGTATTTTTGTTATATCAAGTTGAAGGTCGTTCAAAGGCTTTGGAGCGGCAAAAGTCTTCAAGAGTTCTTTTGATTTTATTTTCGAAGCAGTAAAGTGTATATACTATTAGATGGAATTATAAAGATATTGATTTTTAAATATAGTTTGGGGTGTGACCTTTAAAAGCTTTGTAAACAAATACAAGCATCTTAAATGCAGTCCTGTGTCGTATTATGTTAACATGTTAACATGATTTTAAAAAAAACAGACATATTATGAAGAGGGGAATCAACGAATTGGGCACAAGTATTGCACAGGCATTGTTAACACGAATACAACATGGACAAGGGCTTTAGTGTAAAAATGGTATATACGTATGTTTCGGCAAAAAAGGTTGCCACATTTTGCCCCAAACGTTTGTTATTTTAAGTCATGTTTTAAGTTATTCTCATCCATTTGACATACCGCTACAATCGGAAAGCGATATATTGTTCGATTTAAAATTTGTCATGGTAGCCCGTATATTTTTGGAGATATCGCCATTTTTAAAGATTTTTGTCTAAAAAAACTGATCATGTTCCATGGAATTGCCCAAAGGATAGACATCATGGGTCCTACACTCAACAAATAAAATTCAGATTGGTCCTCAGAATTTGTTTGCTAGCTGTGCGCATTATAACGGGGGACCGCGCAAGGATCAATACCTTTAGGTATATTTCTGCGTATAAATAGTGCATTGCTCCCTGTAAATATTAATCATGGTATCTCAAATAACATCACGCTCAATCAGTGTAGATAGGTTTAGGCCAAGTAAACAAATTTTTCATGTTTAGCGTCCCCGCCCGCTTCCTTTTTCGGGGGCCGCCTCCTTTTTTAAATATTTTTATTTTGAATTTAAAAAACAAAAACAAAACAAAACAAACATGACAAACACTGCGAAAATGATCTATTTTTGATTTTAAAAAAATTAATAAAAAAATGCCGGCAGCCATCTTGAAAAATAGCCCGACTGTCAGGGAAAATGTACCGAGCGGCCATTTTGAGTGGCCATTTTGAAGAAGAAAAAAAGAGGACCTCCTCCTTCCCATTTTTCAAAAAGGCAGGACGCTAAACATGTTTTGTTGTATATGGCCTTAAACGGATTTTATAATCTGTAGTCTATTTCCAGTTAAAGTGATTGACCTTATTTTCTGTTAATAATTTCTTTAAATATCGAAAATTAAATTTCAAATCCGAAATAATGGAAATTACAATTTACACTCAGAAATTTGTGTAAAGAGATACAGTTATGTTTTATATTCACATGATAATTTTAACGTGGAAGCTTACCGTTTGCTTAAATCTCTGCTATGTCCAAAAATAGATGAAAAGAGGCCTTCAATTTTTCCTCTCATCAACAGTGTTGACTATATTAACTAAATGTTTCCCAGCGTTCATAAAACAGCGAATACGGTATTAGCACTATGTTGAAACACGCAGTGCACTAGCCCCAGAAATTATTCTTAATACAGATTCCGTTTGCAGAAATATGTTTATCCATAATTATAATCCGAGACCAATGTAGAATCAACGAACAAGATACCATGACTTAGGTGATGAAAGGCACATCTGCGCGTAAATCTACTTTGTACATAAAGGTGGTGTAGCGAGAGTGTATGTGTATTAATTATCTGGGCGTACCCCAACACGAAACGTTTCATATGCAATGCTCTGCAAGGTCATCCCCATAGCCATAGCATACATTTCAATACATATTTATCGCACAGTCAGTCGGAAAAACTATTTGTTATGCAAATCATATACTTGGCCCGAGCTAGCTGTCTAAAAGAGTACTACAGTGTGAGTCAAAAAAATGTTTACATCTAAATTGCTAATTATTTTATAAATCATCTATACGCAGTAAATTATTATACATCTCATGAAAGAGTGTTTTATCCCGAATCATTAAGTATCATTTTTGTGTGGTATGTGTTCACGCTTGGATAAACAGGACTCTAGGAGGCATAATGCCCAAACAAAGATTGTTTGCTATAGTGCAAACATCGACTTGCGCCAAAGTTGCTAATGTGATCTCAAATAAAACAATTGGGATTTGGGCATTAATTCGGTCATTGCACATCCAAATAACATCCCTAACAAAATTAATCATGACACACATAATCAACGAAAGTTTGTGCGCGCGTGTGTGTGTGTGTGACTTTGCTTCTGCAAAAAGCATATGCAACGCATCTCATGTGATACATTCAATTCATTCTCTCACTTTAATCCCAACATATCACATACTGTAGGCATTACTTTGGCTCAAGTCGATTTTTGGACTCTCGCAAACGATGCCTCCTGTTCATCCAAGCGTGAACACATACCACACAAAAATGATACCAAATGATTTGGGATAAAACGCTCTTCCATTAGATGTATAATAATTTACTGCTCATAGATAAGTTTTTTTTAAAAGATTAGCAATTTTTTTTTTTGACTCACACGGTATATATATTCGGGAGTCTGACAGCGACAGAGAGAGAGAGAGAGCGCAATTGAAAAAAGAGAGCAGGAGAGAGAAAGGGAATGAGAGCGCGCAATCTAAATAAAAAACGATAGAGAGAGAGATAAAGAGAGAGAGAGAGAGAGAGAGAGAGAGAGAGGGAGGGGACACAAAAAAGGGGGAAGGCAATTCAGGCATGTGGGAATCTGATCCCAATTACTAATAATTTGCCGTTCCGAACATAACAATCAGAGGATAACTAAAAACTGGCCGGCATCGTGAATGACAATGTTCTTTGTTCTTATCCAAGCTCTCGCAGGGCTGTCAACATGATAAAACCACCGAAATGCAAAAGTCTGTGGTGAGGTCGGTAGCACATACATTACATAGTCTGAAATTACAGACCCCAATTGGATACGTTACCACAATTCTTAAAGCCTTGAGCCGAGCCTAGATATGTTGGGCTCTGGCTGTGTCAAACAGAAGCTAAAGCACAGTGCCTAATATAGTCTCATTTTGCAGACACTCTTTGCTCGATGACAAGAGTTTGTGCCTGCAAACTAGGTAACCTACATAATAAGATTCGTTAGACTTCCCCAGAATCAAACAGGTGTTTCGCAAGGGTGCTAACACCTTTTGCCTGAATTTGAAATGTTCCAGCTCATGAACTTTGCGATTGAGCCGGGAAAAAACACTTTAGTGTGGTAAAACTGTTATTTAATCATCTGTAAAAATCAGAAGGTATAACTCGTGCTTGGATCTCGCTGTCTAAATATAGACAATAAATATTAATAATGTTGATAGGCATATTTCAAATTTTTAGGGCGGGGAGGGGGAGCTGCGACCACCACACCCCAACCCGTCGCATCGTAGAGCTGTTGGTATAAGCTTTTCATATGGTTCACTTTGATTTACTGATGGATTAAGAGCTACTCTGATTTACAGATCAACAGTAAATTTTTGTTTAATAGAGATGTGAATTTGATATAAACAACTACCAAATATTACTGACTCCAACCGATTGAGACGGACTGTTTGTAAGTAACAACCTAATAATTTCTGCCGAACAACTTTGATAGAAGTATGAGAATGTTCGGGTTAGTGATACTCTGTCTTAAAGGTATGTCTTAAAGGTATTACAAAGTTTTGGTATGGGATCATGAATTTGGTTCAAATTAACATATTGGAAGCATATGCGTTCCTACTGTAACAGGTCAGAATTGAACTGTTTTATAGTGAAACATATACATCCATTTCTAATCAATATCTCCTCAGGAGGAAAGTAAGAAGTTTATATGTTAACAAACTTTGTACTTCAAAGAAGTATGACTCACACATATTCCGAGTAGAAGCTATCAATTTGGCCAAAACATGACATTCCACAGCTATGAGAGAGTTAATGATGTACGGTCACTTGGTCAAAGGTTGGTAACTCGACCCCCCCCTTCCAGAACACTTGTAACAACTTAGCCAAACAAACCCCAAATTGTAAACATCGGATAAGAACCCCAAACTCCCAAAACAAAAGACTTCCTGTCTCCCTCCCAATAACAAGACCCTTTACCAGAACAGGTTATGTGTGGTAGCTATACCACCGTGAGAGTATAGCTGTTATAAAAGAAGGCAGAGGTATTTGTGAGATTCACTCCTGTACTGCACCCCATCCATGGGGCAGGCAGGGAGGTCGACTCTGCAAGCTTTTGGTGTTACATGTCATTAGGTAAGAAGATTATTCTTTTGTTAAGTTGGATAATTATTGAGATAATTAGTACTTTTGTAGATGTATTCTGATGTTAGTTAATAACCTTGGTATCGTTCTCAACGATATAGTTTGTGTTGAATTAATATGCATTATGTAAGGTGTGGCATATTATTTGTTTGATCATTAGTATAGGTTGATTTCGTTAGTGAGTTAAGCACTAGATTAGGATTTGGTAATAGTAATTTGAGATGATTTGAATATTACTATGTTATCTTTAGGAGTTTTAGTTATATAATGTGTTGTTGAGTTTAACTCTGGATAATCGTATTTTGCAAGACAGTTGTAATTAAAAGTAATGTTTTAAGAGTTAACAGGTTTCGGATATAGTTTGAATCTTCTTTAGTTTTCTGTTGTAGAGTATAATTCACAATGATTTGTATTAATTATTATTCCTTCAGGTGTTGACAAATTACAATCAACATGTAAGAAGCAGGAACGAGAGGAAACAGTCCTCTAGGCCAGATTGCCAGGGTGAGTGGTTATCATATTCAATGTATAAACCACTAATTCAATGTAGTTTTAATTGGGAATTACGTTTGACTGTTTGACAATTAAAGATCACTTGATTGTTGTATTCATTTATTTGTTGGGAAAGTTATCCATTACGATGGAAGAACTTTATTTGTGATTAGATACTTGTTATTTTCATGCGATATTGATTAAGTTTTAATGAATGTAATATAGACAACATGTTTATCATTTATTATTACGAGTCGGCTTGACGTCATATTGTTGGAATGCGTATCTTAGAGTCATTAACAAATATTGTTTATCGCTATTATGTGTGTTTTTCAAACATGTTTACATTTTTATTTAATTGTTTTAACTTTGTTTATTTGTCCAGGCTTTAGCTTTGGCTTTAGCTTACTTTAGCTTTGTTCACTTTGCACCTGAAATAAAAAGAACCGCAACACAACGAATGGTGTGATCGAGTATTTTCTACCAGTTTCCGCGTGTGATCGGCGTGTTACAAATGGCGTAATCGGCAGGGATTTCATCGCTGCAAGTGCAAGCCCTGGCTTTCTGTGGAGCTTCTAGTTTTGGGACAACTTGATCGGACATGGACGTCTGGAAACGTGTAAATATGGATGTAGATTTAAGTTGTAGCGATTGTGTGTATTGTATGAGTGTTGTAGCTACTTAGCCAGTGTGATGCTTAATTTTAAGGGGCTACATTGTGTTTGTTTAGGGTAATTTTCTTGAAATTATCTTGTAATGGAATACTTTGAGTGTATTCAGTTTAAATTGTTTTGGGAAAATTAAGGAATAAAACTATTCATATGTTGTTCAGACCGTCATGATAATACTGTGTTTGGAACAATCCATACCCCCTTTCGTATTTAATTTCGGCTGGTTGGATGGAGCCTCAAATTAAGGGATGGCTTACAAAGACACCGGTATTTTATAATATTGATAGGAGGGATAGCAGTACATGTAGGTGTAGAGCAGGTATAGCTCTAGCTTTATCACTTATGAATAGTTGGAATATTCCTTTATTTGAACTTGTAAATTGTTGATATTTAAAGTTCGGCAAGACATTTGTTAAAGTTTTGGTAACTTAGGTAAGTTAGGTTGTAGCATGTATATTACATTCATTGAATTGATATGAATGGTGGATATATTTGTTAGTTTAAGGACTGCTTTTGGAAAAGCAGGGGAGCCCATGAACGTGACATGTTGTTTAATTTTGGGTCAGCAATTCGGAGTAACTATGCGTGTGTAACGGATATTGTATTGTTTTATGCTGAGATTTCTGGTATGTAACTGGGATTTGGCTGGAATTACTGTTGGACTTAGTCGGGATAGAGTATTTAATGTTTATTCCGAAAACCTCGACATGAGACCGGAATCATTCATGGTAGAAATACTGGGGCGACTTTTTAGGAACAGTAGGGTTTATCTCTCTATCTTTGTTTTTCTGTTAACCTCATAGAGAGGCCGGAAAGGGCACATTGGTAGCGGAGAGGATTAGCCAAAAGTTATAAGATTTCTTTGTATATTGCATTGTCGAATTTTTGTATCTTAGGAGTTTATTAAGATATGCGAAAGGAATATCTGTAGGGCATGCAAGGTCGTTACGAAATATAGTTGACAGTTTTACTGCTGTATTTGCTAGAGTGTGTACATGTACTATAAGGACGATTATTGTTTTTGTGTGTTTAAAATGACACAGGGTAGAATAATTGGGTATATACCGTGAAAATCATCTTGGGTGCGCGTTGGCCAATAATGTGTTATGATTTCAATTTTTATATTCTGTATTATGCAAAAATATTTTTAATCACATGGTTAATTTTGATTTGCATATTGGTAGGCATCGGTATTAGGATCAGGAAACAGCCATGATGGGCAGAAGGTATAGAGGGAATTAAATATAATTTTTGTTGTAGTCTGAGTGTCGGGACGACACTCAATTAAGCAGGGGAGTGTGTAACAGGTCAGAATTGAACTGTTTTATAGTGAAACATATACATCCATTTCTAATCAATATCTCCTCAGGAGGAAAGTAAGAAGTTTATATGTTAACAAACTTTGTACTTCAAAGAAGTATGACTCACACATATTCCGAGTAGAAGCTATCAATTTGGCCAAAACATGACATTCCACAGCTATGAGAGAGTTAATGATGTACGGTCACTTGGTCAAAGGTTGGTAACTCGACCCCCCCCCCCTTCCAGAACACTTGTAACAACTTAGCCAAACAAACCCCAAATTGTAAACATCGGATAAGAACCCCAAACTCCCAAAACAAAAGACTTCCTGTCTCCCTCCCAATAACAAGACCCTTTACCAGAACAGGTTATGTGTGGTAGCTATACCACCGTGAGAGTATAGCTGTTATAAAAGAAGGCAGAGGTATTTGTGAGATTCACTCCTGTACTGCACCCCATCCATGGGGCAGGCAGGGAGGTCGACTCTGCAAGCTTTTGGTGTTACATGTCATTAGGTAAGAAGATTATTCTTTTGTTAAGTTGGATAATTATTGAGATAATTAGTACTTTTGTAGATGTATTCTGATGTTAGTTAATAACCTTGGTATCGTTCTCAACGATATAGTTTGTGTTGAATTAATATGCATTATGTAAGGTGTGGCATATTATTTGTTTGATCATTAGTATAGGTTGATTTCGTTAGTGAGTTAAGCACTAGATTAGGATTTGGTAATAGTAATTTGAGATGATTTGAATATTACTATGTTATCTTTAGGAGTTTTAGTTATATAATGTGTTGTTGAGTTTAACTCTGGATAATCGTATTTTGCAAGACAGTTGTAATTAAAAGTAATGTTTTAAGAGTTAACAGGTTTCGGATATAGTTTGAATCTTCTTTAGTTTTCTGTTGTAGAGTATAATTCACAATGATTTGTATTAATTATTATTCCTTCAGGTGTTGACAAATTACAATCAACATGTAAGAAGCAGGAACGAGAGGAAACAGTCCTCTAGGCCAGATTGCCAGGGTGAGTGGTTATCATATTCAATGTATAAACCACTAATTCAATGTAGTTTTAATTGGGAATTACGTTTGACTGTTTGACAATTAAAGATCACTTGATTGTTGTATTCATTTATTTGTTGGGAAAGTTATCCATTACGATGGAAGAACTTTATTTGTGATTAGATACTTGTTATTTTCATGCGATATTGATTAAGTTTTAATGAATGTAATATAGACAACATGTTTATCATTTATTATTACGAGTCGGCTTGACGTCATATTGTTGGAATGCGTATCTTAGAGTCATTAACAAATATTGTTTATCGCTATTATGTGTGTTTTTCAAACATGTTTACATTTTTATTTAATTGTTTTAACTTTGTTTATTTGTCCAGGCTTTAGCTTTGGCTTTAGCTTACTTTAGCTTTGTTCACTTTGCACCTGAAATAAAAAGAACCGCAACACAACGAATGGTGTGATCGAGTATTTTCTACCAGTTTCCGCGTGTGATCGGCGTGTTACACTACAATACTCATTGATCGTTGTCCCGGTTGAAATGGAGTCTAAAGTTATGAAATTATAAATAATAAACTCTGTATGTTGTATAGCTCCCTCTCAAGGTCAAGATATTAAATTAGATAGGAAACAATGTTTCTTGACTAAAATCGACCGATAGCTATTCCCGTTTGGAAATTATATATCACAACTACATATTCTGAGATTTTCATGGTCGCAGCTACCATTTTACGGCCGTAGGCGCTATTTGAAATTTATCAAAATTTACCGGGAGCACCGGTAAATTTTTATATTCAATTTTTCTCGAAAACAGAAATGTTTTAGGGGTTAATTTTTTCAGTGATTATAATACATCCACATGGGCATCCAAATATATCAAAATTGTAAAGATTCACTATCCACCCAATTTTCAAAATTTCCCAAAACTTTGTATTACCTTTAACTTTATGCCATTGTAGTTTTCAATGGTGCCTTCTCTCCTCTCTTCTTCATCATGTTTTTTCTTCTTTAGGTTGGAGGGGGTACCTAAAAATAATTTGTAAAGGTACTATGTCCACTTTGCAGCCAACATCCAATTCTGTAGAACTTTGCAGGAATTTTGAATATGTCACGTATGTCCTATCTGTGAAATTTAAACGTTAGTATTAACCTAGTATTCAAATTATACAAGGAAACCCGTTTATATACTTTCTAGACTTTACTGTCAAACACTATTGAGTGAGTGACTGAATTTGTTTTCTTCTTTGGTAATAACATCCATAAAATGAGCTGTAAAGGTTACTGAGCATTGTTTTGTTTACATCAATAACCCACTTCTTGTAATGGCCGAAATTAAACGGATTTAATTTTTGAGCAGCACAAAACGTACGACTATTCGGGTCTAAGAATTAGACTATTTACCCAAAGGATTGCAATCCTAAAGTAGATTTGACAACTAACGGTCGTTATTTTTCCACAAAAAGACATTTTCAAGCCCTTTCGTTTTGAAGGAAATTCTAAATTAGTATTATCTTTCAAATGCCGTTGGAATTTAACCTTTTCATTTTTTGGCCTGCAAAAGGGACATAGTACCTTTAAGGGGGAATATTTCTACATAACCAAGGATCTTTAATGCTGAACCAATATTAAATAACTCCTTGTTTTGACTAGATCCACAACCATGACTATTAAGACTTATTATTGCCAAAGAGTTCTGTCCCATTGGGGGGGGGGGGGGGGGGGGGGGGGGGGTAAGGTTACCTTTTTTAGGTCAGCCATGGGCATAATTTTTTTTAAAAATAATAATTATAAAAATTAAAAAAATTAAAAAAAAACAAAGGGGGGGGGTTTAAGGGGGGTTTTAGGGGGGTTAACACATATTAAAATACCAAAAGGGGGGTTCAACCCCCCCCCAACCACCCCCCCCTCCCTGCATACGCCCCTGGCCCACACACACACCACCACCACAACCTCAAGTATCATTTTCCCATGATTATGAAGGCTGGATCTCAAATAACACCTTGAAATGATATTGTTACGTTCTTTACGCAGCTATGTTATCATTAAAAGTAAATTATTATGGTCAATGTAAGAGATCTTTGGAACGCGGGTGAAAAACATGCCTTTGTAAAATACATTCTGAAGAGGGAAATTTTAATTGAAGCTTGTCTGACATTGTTTTTCAATCAAAGTAAGCCGTTGTTTCAAATTTTCGACAAAGTCTTTTTGCGTTTGTCTATTAATTGATTTCAGAGATTGCATTGTAGAAATAAAAGAAACTGATAGTCTTGTCAATTTGAAGAACTATTTATCTTCAATATAATCCTCATAAAACCTTGTCCTAAAAGATTTAAATGAACTGGAACCAACCAACCTTAGACTTGAAAATGAAATAAAAGAGTATTATACTATCATACTTCAGTTTTTTTTACTTCTCACCGACATAACACCTACCCGAAAAATACCCACTACAGGTAAATATGAATCCATAATTGAATTAATTAAGTAATGCTTATATGACTCTTAAATGTATTAATTTCTTGTCCCATTGATTCTATTTGTCTCTTATTATAATAACGAAACTTTGCTCTCTATACATTTGGCAGTTCATCAGCAATCACGTTAAAACATATTCACTGATATCATGCGTGCATACATTAAAAAATGACTTAAAGACTTCCCCCGAGGTTTACAAGGCCTAATAACACGTAGCCTACATTAAACGGTAGATGCTGTCTATATAGATGGCAATGAACTGTAAAGCAAACAGATTAATAGGGGCGCCCTCTGCCGTTAAGTTCCAAGGAACTGAAATACATTAGATGGCCTAAACTAGTTTATTGTTGCAGTATATCTCTCTCTCTTTTTCTATCTTCCTCTATCTGTTTAGCTCTCTCTCTCTCTCTCCCTTTCTCTCTCTCACTCTCTCTCTCTCTCTGTATGGGATGATACTTAAACATTAAACGCGCCGTTATGCACACACACACGCACGCGTACATGTAAACGCCTTCAATCGGGGAGGTAGGCAAAACACCATGAAACTGTGGAGGTAATAAATATAGGCTTTATAAGCAATATTTTATCAAATTTGAGGAAAGAAAATCACAATAAGCCCATTCCAATGTCAAAAGATACTAAAAAACGTTTACTTCTTCTTACACATGATTCGTCTGAATTTGAGCTATGAAAGTGCGGTGTCTGCATCTAGTCATTGTCAATCGGGGAAGTAGGCATAAGACCTAGCAAACGTGGAGTTTGTCGATTTTTATCTTTTCCTTGTAAACTTCGAACTAACTCATGCAAAAAAGGATATTATTATGTTTGCTTGTATTTAAAACAATGAAGGCAATACTGTCTTTCAAATCTTAATTTCCACAATATAATATCAATCTTAGAAACAAGAGTTATGGTCAACAGTTGACCGTTGTGTATCATGTAAAAAGTCTTGATAAATATGATCTTGATTTACTGTATGGAAGCCAGTGGCGGATCCAGCCGGCGGGAAGAGGGGGGGGGGGGCCAATCTGTGAGAAAATATTAGTTGCGACTCAGCCGTCGGTGAATAAGCGGGGGGGGGGGGGGTAGGAAGCATTTTTTTGGGGTGCAATTTTTCAGGAAATATTTTGCGCCGACTTAGTCAGCCGGTGAATATGAGACCACTATTTTTTTTTTTGTGTGACCTAATTCGTGAGATTTTGTTGTTGTTGACCCGTCACCCCCCCCCCCCCCCCGTGGATCCACGCCTGCAGAGGATCCAGCCGGCGCCAATGGGGGGGGGGGGGTAGCCAAATCTTAATACAAAATTTAGTGCCGTCTCAGCCGGCCGGCGAATAAGCGGGGGGGGGGGGGGGGATGGGGCGCTTTTGTTTTTTGTTTTATAAAGGTTAACTTTACGTTATTATCCTATTTTTTTTTATCGTTTTGGGGGGCTGGGGGGGGGGGGGCGGGCCGGAAAAATCGCTACGTGGATCCGCCCCTGATGGAAGCCATTACAAATGTAATCCTAGGAATCCCAACATCAGTTCCACTTACTCAGGTTCAATAAAAATGTTGGCTTAGCTTTTATCAGTGTCAAGAGATCAAGGTAATTTAAAGGGATTGCCCATGAACTGTCACACTATATTGTGTGGCTCAGAAAGAAAGAAAACCGGATATTTCCAATTACAATGACATAATGACTCAAAGTTGATGATCTTGACATCATTTTTTATCATTTCGAAAAAGAATGATCTTCTTAATGAAGTAAGAATTAGGTCAATGATGAAGTTGTAATTGTAGATCGCAGGTGTTCCGTTCTTTCTAGCCCCCCCCCCCCCCCCATGTATATAAAAACCATTATTCTATCATAAGGATATTTATATTTCTTTATTTTTGTTTTCGGGGGGAGGGGGAAGATTTCGGCAATTCAAGGAAAGAATACAATTCATATTTGTAAATGTTTTTAAATTAATCGTTATCACTAGTGGTATAGAGTTTGGATTAATATCATTGCTTCTTTGTATGAGATTCCTTTTGTTCTCTTACTATCATCAAAATATGTTTGTAACATTTATTCTTTTCTTATACATGTTTGCATTTTGACGTATCGACTTGTGAAAATGTTATGTTTTGTGAATAACGTTTATGTCTTTTGAAGAAAGAAGACACATATACAAAATAAAGATTGAGCTTGTTTGTACTATATTGCGTACTGATATGTCTTCATTATTTTAACTGTAAGGAATCACTATATCGCAAATGATGTTACAGTGCTTGCACACGTTGAAATTATTAATAGATAAGCTGGGAAAGATATAATGAAGGAAATTAACTTTAATAATTCATCCACTGTACGTACCAACGGAACTTAATGACACCACCACACAAAAAGTTTGCAAAACTTTCTCCTGTGCTCCTCTCTTTCTCTCTCTCTAACTATATCTTCATTCAATTTAAGGACGAAACTGTCATCTTTTTCAACATGTTTTAACAATTCCTCGATCAATGTGGTATCAAACCACTTTCCCTGAATATTTTCTTTCCTTTCATCCTCGAATTCTATTAAATTCTTTAACACACCTCCTGCAAACATATACATACTTGCCACTATAAAATTGGATATAATTACAGTTTTAAAACTATGCAGTATTATCTAGCAAATCATTTTCTTTCTTAATTTTAAAATATGACTTATGTTAAAGAGGGAAAACAAAAATCACAGAATTATCATGTTATTTCTATAAATATCTCATACACCAGCAGGTGTATTGTACTACAGAGGAAAAAGACGAGATAGAATCAAATAAATGCCAATTGTAATAAACAATAGTTTATCTTCTTTGAATTTCTGTAAAATATACTTTATTTCGATACAATTATTTGACAGTCTTCAAAGGCACATGCAAATCATGAAATTTACAAGAGACAAGTTAAACACGTCCAGCGATGATATGCAATTAGGAGTTAAGTCCGAACGTGTACATAAAAAGGGCAT